CTGTGCAAAACAGTGCAATTCTATTTGTAGAATAACTTGCTTGGAATATCTGTGCCAGGAAAAGAATTTTCTGGCAAATATTCTGCCACTGCTGTAAAGCAAATTTGTTCAAGTGCCAAAATAAAGTCTGTCATGCCGAAAGTAAATCATTGTATAGACTCACATCCAGTTTCCTGTATGCTTTCTGCTTAGGTTGTTGATTTTTGGTTTTTTTTTCTCTCTTTCAATTTTTAAGAAACAGTAAGTAATATCATAAAGTGTTATTAGTCATTACTGAGTTCAGGAAAATTTTGGTAAACTATAAAAATTAAAGCCAGTGTGGTAGTTCCTGTTTCCTTAACCACCTGTGAATGAGCTCCCTTGTGTAAGTATTGCTTTTTCTTTGAGAGACTTGCAGTATTTGCACTGCCTGTTTTCAGCACATATGTGGGGGATGGGAAGAACACATTTGAAAGAAAGAAAACTTTTACTTACTGGTGAAAAGCACCCGAACTTCAAGATTAAGGCATTGTTAACAAAATTTAATTTAGCTGGAACAAGACAGAAACAGCCCTCAATTAATGTTAACATTTGATGGTTTCATGTCACGTGTCCAGTGAGTTGACATCTAGGAACACTCTGTGCAATAGCCCTAGCTGTCCTGGAACTCATTCTGTAGATCGGACTGACCTTGAACTCACAGAGATCCGCCTGCCTCTTACTCCTGAGTGCTGGGATTAAAGGTGTGTGCCACCACTGCCTGGTGAGGAACAAAAATATAAAACCTAAAAATATTACAGGGTTAATTTGGAGTGCTGGTCTTTGGTTTTTTGTTGCTGTTTTGTTTTGTCAACTCGACACAAGGTAGGATCATTTGGGAAAGAGGGAACCTTAATTGAGGAAATACTTCTAAAGGGTCAGCCTGTAGGTATGTCAGAGGGTCCATTTTCTTGATTGTTGATGTGGTAGATGATGCATCTGTGATCAGCAATGAGCAAATAACAAAGAGCAAGACACTGACAGAGAAATAGAAGCCAATATACCCTTTCTTCCCTGGGTGGGTTTTTGTCAATGTTTGATCATAGTAACAGAAAGCAAATTAGTACATTTGATAAGCAAGATCTTCTTTTTAACCTTATTACAGCTAAATAGTAGAGGAGTAGAAGCAGTATATTTTTTAAAAAATGTGGGTGACACATGCCTACAGAATCAGCTAGATAGGAGACTTACTTAGGGAATCACTTCAGTCCAGGAATTTGAGACCAGGCTGGGCAATACAGAACTGTGCATTCCCCAAAACAAAGTCTAGGACAGGGTTGAAATTCTGGGGTTGGGTTAAGGGTGTAGCTCTGGCAGATTTTAATAGCTCTCTTGTCTTTATTGTCTTGTACCCATGAAAAAGGCCTTGTATTAGATCCTCAACACCCACCCAAACAAAAGCAAGTAAGCAAGGACAATGTCTCTGTGAGATCCTAAACGGTTTCCAATGAATTTGAATCAAGACAAATGAAAAGCAGTTGCTCTATATTAAGTAATTAACTAAAGTGCTGTTCGGTGTTTTTAGACTAATAGTGAAATTTGATATTTGGCCATTTCTGAAGAATTAGATTGGGCCATACAGAAAACTTTAAAACAGGTAGAATTAATTGCAAATAAAACAAACAAACAAAAAACAAAAAAACAAAAACAAAAAAACAAACAGTGTTCAAATGAAGTTTGTCCCAGCACCTTCTGACTGGGTTAACATCACTCTGAGGATTTCAAGGTCTCATTTCTTGTTCCCTGTCAAGCCCTTTTACGACCAAAGAATCCAGGTGGCTTTGGGAACCAATTTGGTTTCCTGTTAGCTGGCTGGGAGTCTATAACCTAAGCAAGCTGCAGGTCTAGCTCATACTGGCAAAGTGAAGCTTTAGGCTCTGGTGCTTTGAGCACACTGAGCTCAGGGTTCATTGATTACAGTTTTGTTGGTTTTGGTGAAATAGTTCAAGTAAAAACTGCAGGCAAGGAAAAGTTCAATCAAATAAATGCTTGTCTGCTGAATGCGTAGGATACTTCATGAAACTGGGGGCACAGGATGACTGCTGTACACAAATTAGGTCAGTAAATGTAAATGAGAGAAGTAGAGAAATCCCCTTGAAGTCCATGTCTACCACAGACAATGTCATCTACTGTAAGAGACTGAAGGACCAAGAGCTGGAAGAAGCTAGGCATTCTGTGATAAGGATCTCAAAGTCTCAGCCACTTCAAACACCAAACAATAATTTTTGTTTTGTGTTTTGTCTTTAGCGTGTTTGTTTGATTTGTGCATTGTTTCATTTTGTTGAGACAGAGCCTTGTACAGTCTAGGCTGGTCTCGAACTCCCTATGTAGTGAGGATTTCCTTACCCTTCCACCTCCCACGCCTCACATTTGGGAATATGGAGGTGCCCCTCAACAGATGGCTGGCCCCAGATAAATTGGTAAATTGTGCTTTAGTCATCCTCACTCCAGGGCACAACCAACCATGGACAGTTACTGAGTAGATGGAAAAGGGCCAAAGTAGAGCTATGTCTCCTTCCACCCCAATTATATTGGAAAAAGCAAATCATATACTATACCAGGAAATAGAGAAATACAATCCGGTTTTGTGGCTAAAAAAGAGAGAGAGAGGTGCAGTCATTGTGAGTACTACAGTGAGGTCAGAAAAGATCTCTGTGAGAGGGGGGCCTGGATGATCTAGATTCAGGTGTGCTAAACCCAGAGCAAGCAGCTCTTCTACACTATTGCAAAGCCAGAGAAGGGGGGCGGTCTTGGAGTGTTAGAGGAACAAAGGTGACAACCAGTTGCTGAAAGGAAGAAATAATGAGAAACAGGTGAGAGAAGGAGGCCTAGAAGTAGAGTCACCTCCCAGCTGTTCTCTCCTTCCCTTGTTTGTTCTTTTTTTATATCATTCTTCTCATGTCACTCCTTCTGTCTAAAGTCTTAGAATAAAGTTCTTGCTGATTGGTTGATTGATCGGTTACCTTGACCTCTGGGTCTAAAGGAAGTTCTCCCTACATGTCCGTAAGTGGACACTGGGGGAACAGATAGCTAATTAGGAGGTCGTTATTATCTTCGAAAGAGAAAGATAAAGACTATGGAAATGGAGAGGTCTGAAGAGGGTTTGGAGAGTCAAAACCACCAGATGTTGCTAAAGTTTGAAGAGCAGAGAATATAGAAAACAAAGTACCTAAGAAGGTTGAGCCATGGTGAAGAAGGGGTATACCTACTGCTGGTATGAATCAAGGATTCCTTCTAGGTCAAGTAAGTTAGAGAGGGGCAGTGGGTAAATGAAGGAAATGCATCTGGAGTGAAAAGGAAAGCCCAGAAAAAAAAATCACTATCTAAAAATCATTTTAGAAGGGGGAAAGCCAGATTGCCTCTGTTGTTAGGGGGTTCTCTGGCACTAAGACAGCTCTGTGGTTTGAATTCCCACTAGGCAAGTCCTCCTCCATGGGCCCAGCTGACGTGATTCTTTAATTGTCATCCCCACTTCCCACCATCTCTAGCTAGAGAGGGTAAAACTTCCAGACTTGCTATCTAGAGGATCCCCTCCCCCAGTTGGTCCTTATAGCTCTTCTGTTTGTGACTAAATTCTTGCTTGCATTCCCCAGCATGGGTTCTGTTTTCCTTTCCACTGATCCCACAATAGTGAATGCCCCCAGATGGTATTAAAAGCTGTGGGACTACATGAGATTATTTGGAGAGGTAGGGGGAGGAGCAGATAGTCTCGGGTCTGTCTGGTAAGAAAGTCTATCTTTTCAGGTGAGCTTTAACCAGATTTACCACAGTGAACTGCTTTGCCATTTGGGCAGCTGCTAAATGTAGGCTGTATGGAGAGGTGAACTAACGAATAAGTAGGTTCAAGTAACTCTGCTTTTTTACGGTGACAAAATATGAATTGTTGTTAAAAGAAAGTACCTGGGCAAAGGAAAAAGATCGTTTGTACAGCCAGGAGACATGGCTATTATCTACGTTTAAAATGGGAACTCCTCAGCAAAACAA